AACAAGGCTGTGGACGTCATGAATTTTAACAGCCTCAACAATGAACGTTTTGGGTGAAGATGGACAGTCAAGGATGCTGGCAAGGATAAGGACTTCCACTATTCACAGTGGCTCTCTCCACTCTGACTCCGTTGCTGGTTTGAAATCTTTCCTCTTGAATATTGCTAATAAATAAACTAAGATGCATAGCTTCTGCTCTATGTTTATATCCAAATCTAGAACCACCTAGGACACTCTTGTTTGTCTGTTTCTTGTTGTGTATCGTCAAATTTATTCTGACTGCAAATTGCCACTCCTACAGTGGAGCATCTGGTGGATTAAAAATGCCCACCTTTGGGATTGCAGCGCAGCTTCTTGGCCACCAGCGTTCCCTCCTAAGACACTTTTGAATAGCAGTGTTTTGGAGCTGGGGAGACCTGTGAGGTCATTCAGTTGAACACACTTACTTAGGAGCAGAGGCTGAGGCGTGAAGAAGCCATGGACTTGCTGAGGGTCATTCTGTTCTCTCTGGCTATAACATAAAGACAATATTATCTTCGTCTTCTCCTGAAATGCTGCTCGCAATACATTCCATAGCAACAATATTGGAGAATATAAAAGAATATTAGAGAATTACACCAAATCTAGGTAGGATGAGGGAAACATCCTTAGAAAAAAAGGTCTACTCTGTCTATAGCATATCTTAAATCTTCTCAACAGAGTTCCCCTGGTCAAAGCAAGCACTGTCATTTATGTAAACTCCTATTACAGTCTTCTAACCTACATTCCTGTTTCTATTCCCGGTATTTTCATCCTTGCTCCAGAGCAATTCCTCAGCCAAACCAATTTAAAAATAATCGTATGTGCAATGCCTTTCTTCTAGAATACTCCAGAGATTTCTCCTTGTGATGAAAATATCATCTGAATACTATAATGCCCTGCATTCTCCAGCCTCTGCCCACCTTTAGTTTCATATCTTCTTGTCTACTAACCCTTGCCCCCTTGCTTACTATCCTACAGTTCCAGTGGTCTTTACTCTTTCTTAGGACATATACAATTTTTTCATAATACATTTCCATTTTTGGCAACAGCTGTTTCTCCTAGCTAGCTAGCTCTTCTGCCAGGAATTGCATAGTTAGTTCCTTTTTTCTCATTCAAATGTTACTGCTTGTCTATGGCCATACCACCCTGAACATGCCTGAAGTGGCCAAATGTTACTGTTCAAGGTTATTGTTGTTGTTGAAGCATGCCACTGAGTTTTCTACAACTCCTAGCAACCCTGTGCATAACAGATTGAACCCTGCTCTATCCTATGCCACTGTCACAATCTCTGTCATGCTCAACCCATGGTTTTAAGTCGTGTCAAATGAATTCATTGACAGTCCTCTCTTTAGTGGCCTCTCTACCTTTCTCAATGTGATATCTTTTTCCAAGGACTGATTCTTCCTGCTAACATGCCCAATGTAAGTGAGATGAAGTTTCATCATCCTTGCCTCCAAGAAGTGCAACCTCCAAGACAGATTTGTTTGGTTTTTGGACAGTTCATAGTTTGTTCAATATCCTTAGCCAACACCACAATTCAAAAGCATCAATTCTTCTTTGTTCTTCTTTGAGGATGTGACATTTGAGGTGGGGACTGTGACAGTGGAAAAAAGTTCATTAGGCAAATACTGACTTTTTCTAACAGAGAAATGAGCAAATGGAAATGCACTAATTATGCCAATGTGTTTTTCCTTGCTATACTTACACTCCTACTCATCATTCTACTTGTTAAATCTTGCAGGACTTTGACCTTGATCTCTTGTATTTATTTTATCCAATTTAAGTCTTCATTGCTGCTGCTGCTGCTGCTTCCATCTTCCCTCCCACTGATCTTCCACACTTTAACATGGCTATTTCCTCTTCTTCTCATTGTCTTTAGATGAAATTTGATAATTTCAAATCATTTATTTAACTACCCCTAATTGAGATAAATTACATAAAAAAGTCCTTTCCCAACATACCAATGTGTATCTTCTTTCATCTTTTATCCTTTCATATCAGTGTGGTTTGGGATTCTTTGAATGATCACTGGGGAGTTCATCAGTATTTTCATTCCTGACTAGCAGAAACGTTATTTAGCACAGGTTAATAACTAAGTAAATGAAAGAATAAATAATTTATAACTTTTATGTTGTTAAGTGCTGTCGAATTGCCTGTGACTCATAGTGATATGTAAAATTAATAAATCTATGCCTAATCTTTTGTCATATAGTATAATGTATTTATATATATTATATATATATATATATACTAGTAACTATGAGAGTAAGGAATCATTTAAACTAACTGAAAATAAACTGTGTGCCACTATGAGTCAAGGTTGACTCAATGGTACCTAGCAACAACAACAATATTTTAAAACAGTGCCATTTATTTTCTGGATTTTCACTGCTGTGTTCTTTGTGACATAGTGCATGATGGCGACATGTGCCATGGCAACGAGTATGCTTTGGCCTCCCTGATTCTTCTTAAGGCTTCAGCAATTGTACTCAACAGTATTTGTCCTACTTCAGTGCAAATAGAAACACAGTGGAAAACCATAGAGTTATTATTTTAAAAAGCGTTTTGAATGGGAAGGTTTCGAAAGTTTTCAAACTGGAAGATTCTAATGGTTCTCAAGTGGTCTTTGGATCACATTTTGAGATCAACTGGTCTTTGTCAGCCTTTACATTCCTTGATAGATGTGAAATGACTTCATCATAAAATTTCATAGCTCTAGGCAACTTGCCTACCAAATGAATTTCCCCCCGAAGAATTCCAATTACAAAATTCAAGCTACATTTATATTGAAGTCTGTTATGATCCATCAGGTTTTCATTGGCTTTATTTTTGGAACCAGATTAGCAGACCTTTCTTGTTTCTCACTACTTCTTATTTCGCTATTTCATTAGCTCCCATCTCTTCCTGTGTAAAGTATCCCTCACAGGCCTCTGGAATTAACTTTCCTAAAGCACATGGACCGACAATCAACACCAGCAATCAACAATCCCTAACATCCTTACAGAACTAACTTTCTTAAAGTACTTTGATCTATAATCAACAGAAATCACTTTCCTTAAGTAACTTGGACACACACACCACCATGGTAGTAGCAGTCGAGAAATTAGAAACAGGGTCAGTTTAAATACTCATGTGTGTCTGATCTAAGCCATAGTATTTTCAATTGTTTCATATGCACCTGGAAGTTGGACAATGACTAACAGAAGAGCAGATGCCTTTGAGTTACGGTGCTGGTGAAGACTGCTAACTAACCCTAGGATAGCCAAGAGAACAACAAAGTCTATCTTGGAAGAAGTACTTCAGAGGCAAGGATGGTGAAGCTCCCTCTTACATACTCTGGCATATTGTCAGAAATGCCCAGTCCTTGGAATAAGGCATGCTGGGAAAGGTGGAGAGTCAGAGAAAGCGAAGGTGAAAATGAGACATAGTCAAATTGACGGTGCCTAACAACAACAGAGGATGAAGCCAGGCTGCTCCTTAGAGGCAAGGATTCTGAAGCTTCATCTGATATACTTTGGACATGTTGCAAGGTGGGACCAGTCCTTGGAGAGGGACATCATGCTTGGGAGGGTGGAGGGACAGCACGTGAGAGGAAGACCCTCGATGAGATGGATTGATTCAGTGAATGGGGTAATGGGGGTGTGTGTCAGAGATAGTGAGACTGGCACAGGATAGGGCAGAGTTTAGGGCTGTTGTACGTGGGGTCACTATGAGTTGCAGGTGACTCGATGGCACATAACTACAACAACATGGGAGAGGAACCCTGCAACATCATGGCCCTCATGCCAGATCTCTGAAGAACTGACCTTTCTACTATTCTCTGGACTAATACATAGAATAGAATGAAATTTAATAAAATTAAATCTATTACTTAAACTTCTCAGGAACTCTAGGAGATAGGATATTATCATTATCCTTATTTAACAGAGGAGGAAACTTAAGCTTGGAAAGATTAATTAACTTTTCAAAATCATAAGAGTTAAGAAATACTGGTGGCTGAGTGGTAAGAATGTAATCCCAAAGGCATGTGGCCACCAGCTGCTCTGTGGGAGAAGGACGGGCAGTCTCCTCCTGTGTGATTAACTGCCTCTGAAAACCCGCTGGAGGGTCAGTTGGTTCCAACTTGATAACACACAACAACAACAACACCAGTACATACTTGGGAGGCTACTATGTCATTTTCTTTATGCAGTAACTCAAAAGTTCCTGTGAACACTTAACTTCCATTCTGCTCTCATAATCCTACCTAAATTAGCATTCGGAATACACCTATACATTCCTACAACAATAGTGGCCTAATTTGGCACCTCTACTGGAAATAATTGTCCCCACTCCGTACTTTCATGACCATCCAGGTTCCCTATGTCCATCTGAAATCATCATTTCTTCTCAGTCCCTTTATACCTATGTGCTAGAACCACAAGCCACTTGATTCCCTTCTCCAGGCATGTGTCGCCTTCTGCCCTAGAATATGGTTGTGAACGCTTCTGTCATCTTCTCTCTCTCAGCCCTCAACATATTATGGATGTTTTAAGACTGTGACCACATGTTATTTATCCCTGTGTTGTTATAATGCCTCACACATAGTTGGCTTGAAATTATAGTTGTAAAATGAATGAATTTGTCAAATATGAGTTTGATTAGCTAACACTTATTTCATGATTCTCCAAGTCGTTCCCCCTTTCTTCCTCCTCTAATTCCTTCTCATGAGACTCATATGTAAAAAGGCGCAAAACAAACAGGAAATGCAGACAGCCTTTGTTTTGAAACAGTCTAGATGGTTAAATTATTAAAGTTTCATATTATATAATATCAAAAATACCAAATTTCAGAGCTGCAAGGTGATAATAATGATAAATAAAACACTTTCTGTAAAATACCAGTGTCTGGATCTCCTGCTCAGGATACAAAGAAGTGCTTAGCATTTTTTTAGTACTGAGAAAAGCCTTATCAGTAGAATTACAGAAGCTCCCACTTACCACATTACTGCATGTTCTGTATCGGATATTTCTTCCTTCGCAGCTCCTAAATCACAAAGGGAAAAATAAAAATGCAATGCATTACTTCCTATAAATGGTTCAATACATGAACGTGAATAAAAACAATTTTCTGTTAATATTAGCTTTAGGCATTCTCTGACCTTCTGAGTAGGTCTTTAAGAAGTCACTAGTAAATACTAAATGGGATAATTCTTTAAAAGTTGAAATAAATTGATCTAAAGGTTAAAACAGGCATCTCTTTTAACGAATTGCTTATTTTATCAATCTTTAATGTAGGTTTTCAGAATTAAAAATATTAATATTTATAAAATATAAATAAATATAAAAAGAAAAACATTAATTTTAAAATTACATGAATCCTGTATTCTTAATAATTTCTGTATAAAAATAGATGTTTCACAGAAAAAAATCCCGTCTCTCGAATACGGTAAATATTAAGTTAAGAATTCATCATGAGGGGAGCTCTGGTGGCCTAGTGGCAAGAAACTGCACTGCAATCCCAGAGGAACACGGTTCGAATCCACCAGACGCTCTGCCAGAGAAGGAGGCACAATATCCTCCTGTACCAGTCAGATCTGATTTGACGGTACATGCACACAAAATAATAATAATAATAATAAAAAAAGAATTCATCATGTGTTAAAATCACACATTAAGAATATGGAAATAATAATTCTTTTAAAAACCCTGTTCCCTATTTCTAAAAAAAAAAAATCCAACATGTTCACTGTAGAAGATTTGGAAAATACAGCTAAACAAAAAGAAAAGAAAATTCTGTAATTGTCTCATCTAAAGATACTACTATCTTGATTTATTTCATTTCTGTATGAAAGAAATTCTATCACTTATGTAATTTTAAAGCCTGCTTTTTCCACTTAGAATTTTTAGAGGCCCTTTCTCACACTATTAAATAACTTTGAAGAGATCTTTTAAATAATTGTATTCCATAAAATAACATAATTTGTATAATCATTCTACTCTTACTAGTCACTTTAGTAATGTCCAACTTGAGGTTTGATAAATGAGAGTATGATTAAAGTCTCTCTGTGAACCAGTTTTCTTCAGATTTCTGACTGTGACTTTAGCATAGATAAATTTCTAGAAGGGGAATTACTAGGCTAAAGGGAATGACTTTTGTAAGGCCCTTGACACACATTGCCAAATTGCATTCCATAAAGGTTGTACCATTACATACTCCTACCCGTAATACATGGGAGTTTCCATTTTACTAAATTCCTATGAGAAAAAACAATCAATTTTTTAAGATATTCAGCCATGACACATAAAATTTGAACAATAAATAGCACTCTGTTCTCTCCAAAATGCCACACTTAAAAATATTAAGTACACAGATAATGTGGAATGTTGAGTTATTTGTTATATTAATATATACTCAATGCTTTTGACTTGAGGTGCTGGAGAAGAGTACTTGATATCCCATAGACGGCCAAAATAATAAGCAAATCTCTCTTGGGGGAAGAGAAACCAGGCAACTCCTTAGAGGCAAGAAGAGTGAAACTTCCTCTTAAATACTTCAGGCATATTGTGAGGAGGCGCAAGTCTTTGAAAAATGACATCATGCTGGGAAAGGCAGGAGGTCAGCTAGAGGGAGAAAAGCCCTCACTGAGCTAGACGGATTGACATATAACTGTAACAATGGCTTTGAACATGGCGGAGATGGTGAGAATGGTGCCGTAGTAGAGAACACAGTTTTGATCTGTTGTTCTTGGGGTTGCTATAAAATGTAGTCAACTCGAATGCTTCTAGCAACAACTAACTATACCACCTAGTAGTTGTGGAATCTCAAAGCATAGTTCTAAACTTGTTAAATCTATTAAATGACTTAATCTTCTCAGAAACTCTTGAGAAAGGATACTATCATTATCCTTATTTTACAGGTGAGACAGAAGCATGAGAAGGTTAAGTAACTTTCCAAAATCACATAGTCAATAATACTACAGCCTAGATGGGGAAACTCAAAGGCCTTTAATTTGTGGTGCTGGAGAAGAGTATTGAATATATCAAGGACTGTTAGGAGAACAAACAGGTTTGGCCTAGAGATGGTGGAACCAGGCTGCTCCGTGGAGGCAAGGATTCTGAAGCTTTATTTGACATACTTTGGACATGTTGTGAGGAGAGACCGGTCCTTGGAGAGGGACATCATGCTTGGGAGGGTGGAGGGACAGCGCAGGAGAAGGGGCAGAAAAAGAGGAAAGCGAAAGGTTCAATGGAGATTTGAAAAGATGGTGTAATAATAGACACAAAGCAATGGTAACTAAATATATTAAATATAATGCATATGAATGATTGTTTAAAATACAAAGTACAAGTATAAAACACTATGTAAGTGAATGATTATATATAAACCAAGAAACTTTCTTAAAAAGAAAAATATTCATATGTAATTCTAATTCAGTAAAATAAATATGAAAGCATTTTTGTTGGCTCTTCAAAATGTTATATTTTTGTCGTTGTTATGTGCTGTTGAGTCACCTGCAACCCACAGCAACCCTATGTACAGCAGCTCTGAACTCTGCCCTATCCTGAGCCAGTCTCACTAACCCTGACACACCCGTATTGCCCCAGTTACTGTATCAGGGTCTTCCTCTCTTGTGCTGCCCTTCACCCTTCTGAGAATGATGTCCTTCTCTAAGGATCGGTATCTCCTGGCCATGTGCCCCAAGTTTGTGAAATATAGCTTCAAAATCTTAGTCTCCAGAGAAACTTGGTTTCACCATCTCCAAGACAGACCTATTTGCTTTGTTGGCAGTCCATGATATGTTCAAGACTCTTCTCCAGCACCACAACTCAAAGGCATAGATTCCTCTTCTGTTATCCTTAGTCATTTTCCAGCTCTCTGAAGCATAATATGTAATTGTGAAGACCATGGCCTGGATTTGGTGCACCTTAGTTTCTAGACTGACATCGTTGCTTTTCAGCACTCTGGAGAGGTCCCTGACAGCCAATTTTCCCAGCAATTTGTCTTTTGATTTCCTGACTGCTGGTGTTAAGAGTGTTGATTGTGGAGCCAAGCAAGTTATAGTTATTATCAATGAGAAAATGTGATCGGAAAATACAATTACATAAAACATTTCTTGAAGAGATGGAAAGGCTACCAGGCCAAAGACGTGTCTCTAATCAGGCTGAAAACATTAAAATTAACACTAGAATTGTGAGAGAGAAAGACAGACTGGTAACAGGCATTAGAAACATAGAAAAAGGAAAGTGGCAGTGATATATGGTTGTAAATGTCTAGCTAACAATACCACAGACAGTGAGCTTTCAGTCTTCCAGGTTCATTAGCAAGGCCATTGTTATCTCAACACAGATGTAGCACACTAACCTGATGTATAAATCTTCAGTTCTTCTGAGAAATGATGCCACATTAAGCATACTAGCCAAGAGTGATCTAGTTTTTCATTACTGCCAAGGGGCAGATGTTTACTGGCCTCCCTGACATCAGTACTCTGGTCCATTAGATGAATACCTCTGCTCCTCGCTGTAAATCAATGCACTGAAACTCTATTTTCTAACACTAATCTCAAGAGCCAAGTTAGTGTGAGTCTACCCCAGACAGAAAAATATCTTCTGGGTGTATGCGCTGAAAAAATTGAGGTTTCTTAGTTTGAAAATATTAGGATCCAGGTGGTAGTAAACCATAGGGGAATGAAGTCTTCAAACGGATGACTTTTGGTAGTGTGCCATTTAGACTTCTCTGTTGGCTGCCTATTACGGCTACTAAATTTTGAAATTCTTTCTGCCTATGTAACATAATGGTTAAGAAAATAATTTTTAAACCACATTTAAAATAAAACTTGTCTTTCCAGAATCCTATCTTTATACGTCAGTGTCTGAATCTCAGTTTTATCATCTATTCTGTATACTATTTTCTGTCTCCTGACGTTGTTGTTGTTGTTGTTATGTGCCATCAAATGACCTGTGACTCATAGTGACCCTATGTACAATAGCCCTAAGCACTTCCCTATCCCTTGCCAATCTTGCTGTCACCAATACACCCATCCTCATTACCCCAATGACTGAATCAACCCATCTCATCAAGGGTCTTCCTCCCCTGTGATGTCTTTCCACCCTCCGAAGCATGATGTCCTTCTCCAAGAACTGATCCTGTCTTGCAATATATCCAAAGTATGTCAGATGGAGCTTCAGAATCCTTGTCTCCAAGGAGCAGACTGGCTTCACCCTCTCCAGGATGAATTTTTTTGTTCTCCTAGCAGCCCATGGTATATTCCATACTCTTTTTCAGCACCACAGTTCAAAGGCATCAACTCTCCTTCTATCATCCCTAGTCATTGTCCAGCTCTCTGATGCATAGCAAATAATTGCAAAGATCATGGCCTGCATCAAGTGCATCTTAATCTCCAGACTGACATCGCTGCTCTTCAGAACTTTGGAGAAGTCTCTAACAGCAGACTTTCTAAACACAATTCGTCTTTTAATTTCCTGGCTGCTGGTACCAAGAGTATTGATTATAGAGCCAAGTAAACGGAAGCTGTCAACAATCTCAATATCTTCATCACCCATCATGATGCTGCCAATTGACTCAGTGGTGACAATCTTTGGTTTTTCTGATGTTGAGCCTCAGTCCATATTAAAGGCTGCAGTCCTTGAGCTTCTGCAGCAGGTGCTTCAGGTCCTCCTCCATTTCAGCAAGCAGGATTGTGTCATCTGCATAACGCAGATTGTTGATGAGTCTACCTCCAATCCTGATGCCACACTTCTCCTCATAGAGCCCATCCTCCCAAAAACTCTGTTCCACATATAGATTGAAAAGATATGGAGATAGGCCACATCCTTGACACACACCCTTGCCAATTTAGAACCATGCAGTATTTCCTTGCTGTGTTCTGACAACTGCCTCTTGGTCCAAGTAAAAGTTTTGCATAAGCACAATCAGGTGTTCTGGGATTCCCATTCTTCTCAGAGTCAGACACAGTTTGTTATGATCCACACAGTCAAATGCCTTTGCATAGTCAATGAAACACAGATAGACATTCCTCTGGTACT